CTGCGCGCGATTTGTCTTGCGTGGGTTTCGACAGTCGTACCGAGAGTTTAGCGTTAAGAAAGCAGTGGCAAACTACTGAACTTAAAAATTTGCCTAGGAAAACCACAACAGCTAAAAAATGCTGAGGTTGGTTCTGCCACTTCCTGTAAAGAATAAGCAACTAAATTTTAACCAATGAAAGGGGTGGGGCTCGTGTAGGAGTGCCCGAGTGCAGCAATGTCAGTTTTGGGGTCATTCATTTATTAGTACTATTTATAACTTTACTGATGGTTAGCACCTTTCCGTTCTCCCCAGCGACGTGCTATATTGTGCTTAATGTTGTGGGTGCACTGCTGTTTTACAGCATTGTTGGGTTCGATCTAAATTTACCCTCTTGGTGTGCACTTCACATTTATAGCGTTGGGAGTGCACGGGTCAGACACTTGGTCAACAGATGAAATGGTTTAGGCATGTGTCAAGACCAGATAGTTCACCACAGAGAACCTTGTCACTTAGACTTAACGGAAGCAGAACCAGAGGTTGACCGGTCCCGGAAACCGCGTTCAACCATTAAGCCATATTTATGGCCGGGCTAGCCAGGGTGGGACTTCCAAAAAAACGAAAAATTGAATCCCACAAGGAGATGACTAGTTATGACAATTTCCGAATATACCATGAGCATGGAAAGTACACGAGATAAGGGAACTAAACTTATAACAATTTTCGAGTTTCGTGGATGACAAAAAAAAAAAAACCTATTTCAACCGGCCCCTTTTCACGAGAGGAAGCTTTTGGTTATATTGTAGTTTGCGTTTATTTGCACCAATATTCTAAATATTGCTAAAATGCTTTTTGGCACCAGGTAGCCCTAAAAAGGACTCTCGTTGATGCAATGACCCAGATACTTTCTCACAGGCTACCGAGTGCCCCATTGGCTAAGCAGTAAGCCACCTGGAGCGGCGTTCATCGAAAGATTTGCTATATTATGATGACGATGAATGCGTCGCGTGTTTTCTGCAAGGGCTACGGCATGCTTGCTGCGTGTTTTCTCCTCCTTCTTCTTCTTCTTCTTCTTTGTCGTCAGTCCTTCTATCAGAAAACACATCTAGACTCTAGAGGCCGGTAGCCTCCATGAAAGCTGTCGTGCAGTCCAAGTCGCCCCTGTACCAAACAACTCTTGTCTCCATGCTGTGGATGAGAACAAGATATGTCTAAATAGAAGTTGAGAATCGTTGCCAGCTCGGAATGCGTTTGTGCGTACGAACCACAGGTCATGACATCGCTGCTAGTTGTGTCCCCTACAAGAATGTATTCGCTCCCCTTATCTGATCCGGGTTATCTCCACGTCTTAACCTCATATACGTAGAAGATTCCATGTTCTCGCAGGGGCAGGGTTCTTCTCTTATCTGGTCATCTTGTTCACAGAACCTTCCCCCCCCCCCCTCTCTCATTCAACCTTTCACATTTCCGTTACTGACTCACAGAGCATGTTGACAAAGGTGGAGGCAGGCATGCTTCGTGCAGAGTGGCAAGCATCACTTTAAAGGACCCTGGTAGTTATCATCCTTTGGATATTTTTTCCAGGTCATGCCGGTGTGTTGGAAAATGAGCAGGCCGGTTCTGCACCACTTGGTAGTGAACTGATGTATGACAAGCTGGATGTTGTGAGGGCCCTTTGGGAGCAAGTAAACAGTGCCGAAGCACAGATAGATCATTACGGTCTGAGGAGAAGGGCACTGCGAGGAGTTACAAGGGGATCTGGCCGATGCTCGACACTTAGGGGAAAGGCGAGACGGATATACAGTCACACAGTAACTGGTACAATCGGAATTTTAACTCTTGGCTTGCTGCTGAAGATGGGACTGGGCGCTTATGGAGGTGTCCCTTGTGCTGTGATGTCGATTCCTAATTCAACATTTCCTTATATTTCTTCACGCGACTCCTGCCTTTGGGCGCCGTATCTAGGATTTTTCTTGATTTTGTTGATAAAGACGGTTGATTGTTTCCGTTCGCGTTTTTATTGTCTTTTTCCCCATGTTGTTGAGTTGTTTTTGGTTTTTAATAGCTTGTTTTCGGTGAATTCATTTCTGGTTTTCTTTGGTTCACTGGAAGGATATATCTAAATTGTGTTAATCCTTTATTCCAAATATGGCAAGGGAACCCAGTAGAGAGACCAGTTGGAGCCACATGACATGAAAAACAGTGCAAGAGCTCACAGTCACTACATCACCCAGTATGAATAACGATCCTTAATGTACCTTTTCCTTGCCTAAAAATACCGTTTCTAACAACCCCCCAACACCCCCCCCCCCCCCCCCCCCCCTTCAATCCCAACATTTCTACTTTCCTCCAGTTGCCATTTATAGGTAATAGTCTTTGCCAGATATCCCAGTAGAGTTACAAAGACAAATTATAAATGCAGTCTTCATACCAACCTTGTGCTATCAGTGTCAGACTTGGACACAGACTAAAGAACATGAGAGAAAACTGACCACTTGCGAAATGAGATGTTTGAGAAAGGCTGTGAACAAAACTAGAAGAGATCATGTAAGAAACGAAGACATTACAAGAACTATTGGAACATCGCCTATAGTTACATTAATTGGAAAACAAAGACTGAAATGGTTTGGCCATTGAATGAGAATGAATCCAAGTGATACCCGCAACAAGAGAGTACAACATGAAAATAGAAACTCCAAGAGGTAGGGGATAACAAAGAAAAAGATGGATTTGAGTCGCTAATATCTCCAGACTCCACATAATCACAGCATAAAGGGTAGCCGAGCGTGCCATAGCTCGGAAACAGATCATATATTAACCTGCGACGCCTAGTGGTACGAAGCAGAAAATGGGCAAAATAAAGACAGACAGACAGACAGTTCCTCTTTCTCCTTCTGTTTTGCCTAATATACGCTACCGTTCAGAGTACCCATGCCAGAGTACTTCATATACAACAAAAAAACATCTGATCTTCTTTATTATGCCACATTCCGTTGCGTCAGTAAACACAGTGGCTGTTTTATTCTATTCGCCTCCTCTTTCCTCTCCAGTCTTTTGTTTTAAATAAACGAATTCCAGAGGCCAAACTTTCTATTTCTGGCCACTCAAGTGTGTGTATTTATAGCAGTCAAAAAAATGGTTCCAGCCGCAGTGTTGTTGATGTTCTCTGTGTGTTTGTAGTGTGAGGTAGTTTATGTGTGTTTTAGCTTTGTGCCGGATTCAAGGGGTCTTTTGTGTGCAGGGTTCAAGCAAGTCTGTTGTCAGATAGAGGAAGCTGTTGGAGATTGGGAGTTTGTGTATTTAGCTGCCAGTCCCCTAGCTATATTCTTCTTCTTCTTTTTCCTGTGTTAATTGCTTTTTTAGTCTGCATGCAAATAAGCTAGATCTGTAAAACAGATGTGCACACAACACTCAGATTCTGGAACAAGACTAAAGTCCAGAACTTTCCTCCGTAGTTTACAACCGGTGAATGCAAAGAATGAGAAGAAGAAGATTACTACTCTATTTGCTTTTTTTTTCTTTACTTTTTTCTATTTAGTTTGTTCTGTCTTTCTTCCTTTTGTTAATTCTTTTTCATTCATTCATTCTTTTGTTCTTCCTTCCTTTTTTAATTCTTTCTCTAAAATAAAACAGACTTTATATGTATGCTAATAATTGCTTGAATTATTTTCTGCACTGTTTATGCAGTTTTATATTCCTAATAACAATTGTATGTTTGTAATTGCAGAAAAACATGGCCTTGTACAATCAGCCCAACATTGATCGCCAAGACTATGATGTACCACCTTCAAACAGAGGAACCATTGAAGGTGTGCCTTCTCCATCTCGCAGACCATCCTATGATGCCCTGAGAAATTTTGCAGGACCCAGGAAAGCTTCCCTGGGAAATGATCTGTATGACACCCCTCCGAGCAGCAAGCGGGGCTCAGCTGAGAACCCCAACTCCCTGTACGATACACCACCCAGCAGCAAAAGAGCCTCCAGCGAAAGAACCCCACCTCACAGTAACAGATCATCAGCTTCCAGGGAATCAGGTTCGAACCTCCTGTCCTCCTACTCACCCAGTCAGCTGTCGTTGACCTCACACCAGAGTGGCAGTGTTTTGAGTCTTCCTACGGTTGGCAGGCATAGAAGCGATTCTCACTCGAGCAGTGAAACATCTCGAAGCAGCAGGTCTTCGCTCGACAGAATATTATCTGAAGAAGGCCCTCCATTGTATGATACACTCTCACCGGCAGCTTCCACTGAACATTTAGCACCAGAGGATCCTGTCTATGATACACCCCCATCCAGGAACCATGCGTTATCCCAAGCCAACCCCGCCTCTAAGTCTAGTTTAGCCTCTGCAGCTTCCAGTGAGTCACTGTTGTCCAATAATTCTAGCTTTAACAGTGTCTCCATGTCGCAGGCAACCAGCCTGCCTGATTCTGCCCGTTCCAGTATGGATTTGCCTTCAGACATCTACGATGTACCTCCCTCAACCCTTGAAATTGACAGGTCCCGAAAGCAGTTATCGATGGACTCTGGATTGGGCTTCTACGACAGTCCAGTAAGATCCCGGCCGTCCTCGTCCTCTTCAAACACAGTCATATTAGAGGGTTTGAAATCTTCACAGTCTTCATTTGACTGTAAACCGACTTCAACTGTTAAAGAAATAACACGCAGCAAGAGTTTAGAAAACGCGGTAGATGATGTGTACGACACACCACAGAACAACATGCCAAAAGTTGGCTTGAAGAAAATAGGAGGAGCTCCATCTGGTTCTGGCTCATTGTCCAACGCATTTAGCGATCCCTCCAGTGTTTATGACATCCCTCCCCAAGTAACAAGAGATTCGGTCATCTCTGAGAGATCGGATTCCTCTGATGATAACCAGAGGCTTTCTTCAACTAGTTTGGACAATGATCAACAGATGGCTGAGCTTCTCTTGTACGATGAACTGCATCTGGATCTGGATTCTGCACTGGAGGTGCTGGTCAAGAGACAACAGGATGTGTATAAAGCTACCAGCAGACTTGCCAGTTTTGTCAACAACACCTGGAGAAGCCGAGTTAGCTTGGAGAAGACTCTGTATGACATCAAAGTCTCCTGTACAATGGTGAGGAATTCTTTGCACGATTTTGTAGACTTCTCCCATGGGGTGATAGCCAATGCAGTGAGGCTGCCAGACCGTTATTTGGCCAATAAACTGATGAAATATGTAGCTCCACTGCACAGCACTTTTGATCTGGTGAATAAATCATTCATAAATCTGGAGGAAATTAAATGGCAGGTTTCACTTTTAGCAGAACCTCTTGACAAAACCAGGCCCGACCATCTCGGTCAAATAGCTTTGGTTGCTAAGGACTTAATGCTGGAGGTGAAGAAAGTTGCCTCATTTATTCAAAGTAATGGAACTGTTCTGTTTAAAAAGGCACCTGTCGGGGAGGCCAAGAAGCCACAGATGTCATCCAAGCCTCCCGCAGTTCCAAAAGCTGGTGAAAACAGTGGAGGCAAAGTAGCTGGTGCTGGTAATGGGAAACCTAAAGCCATGCAGCATCGACCCCTGCCAGCAGTCCCCGGCATTGATAAGAGTCTGACAGTAAACACCCTGGCAGCACTGTCCGAGAAACATAAACTGTCCTTGTATGATATCAAAGCTGCGCTGCACCAGGATGACTATGCAGAATGCGAGGAACTCCCTGATGAGAAAGATCCTGTGCAGGCACACTGTGATATAGTTGAGCCATCTGTGCAGGATTATGACTATGTGCAGCTGGATACCAGGGATGTTTATTCCACGTGTCACGGAAAGAATTCTCCTTCTGCAGAGGAGGCTCATACTAAGTCTGGCCCAGGGGAAATGGATGTGTCCAGCAACAAACTCGAAGAGGTCAGCTCCATGGATAGTTCATCAGGGAAGACAACTCAGCTGTTCGACAGTGACCTGGAACTGATTCCTGTTAAAGACAAACAGTCTGACGGTAATAAAGAAACTGTCGGGACAACAGCTGAGAATTCATTTTCTAGAAACTCTGCAGAAAATTCTAGATTCCCTGCAGAAAATATAGCTGATGATACTTCTGAAGATGTCTCAGACTTTGAGCTCTCAGAGCAAGACATGAAAACCCCTGTTAATGTCAGCAGTGCATCTTCTAGTGAGTCAGAGTTTATTATCCCAGAACCAGAAAGCGGAAAAACCATACGAGACATTCTAGATCCCAACGATCGACAGGTTCTTGTGTATTATTCCGAACAGATGAACTCCCACTTCACCCTCCTGGCCAACGCCATTGATGCTTTTATTGGAGTGGTTTCCGGCAAGGAGCCTCCAAATGTCTTTTTATCACACAGCAAGTTTGTGATAGTGTCTGCTCACAAGCTGGTGCATATAGGAGACAGCATCCATAGGAATCTGATCAGCAACAGTGTGAGTGTGCGCATCATGCAGGGTGCCAACCACCTCTGTGACTGCTTGAAAGCCTCCGTGATGGCCACCAAGACTGCAGCTCTGCAGTACCCGTCTCCTCCAGCTGTGCAGGAGATGGTGGATCGAGTAATTGCTGTGTCTCATGCAGCCCATGACTTGAAGCTTGTAATAACGCAAGCAGCTAAACAGTAGTAGTTTGAATGTAAATAGGAATAGCTGCAGTTGGGCTGATATGAAGTAACTAAGCAAACTGTGACTAGAAAGCTCATCTCTATTACTGCCATGAAATCCTGTTCTGGGGATCAGACCAGGTGTTTTTCTTTCAAAAAATAGTTTTGGCATTCTCAGCCCTAGAGAGATCAATCAGTATTTAGTACATCTTTATCTAACTTTTATTTAATTAATTTAATAGTCCCTTTCTTGCTCCGTCATACATGTTTTGTTCCATAATAGCTGTTCCTATACATATTTTCTGTGTGTTTTATGTTGACCTTGTTGCCTGTTAAATTAGCTCTTTGTATTGTCTGTTGATAAGGTTGTTGGTCGAAAAAGATAGTTTTATGAGCGAGTGTTCTTTTCCTTTGCATTTGTTGAGCTTTCTAGTCACAGTATGTTTTGAACTTAGATACTTCATCAGTAGTTCTACTATTGTTTGTTTGTTTGTTTTTAAAATCCCCGTGTAATTAACACAGAAGTGCTCTAGATTGTTTATGAAATATGCAAGGGATCCTTCTTCTAAGCTCTCACCAGCTGTAACCTCCAGCAGAAAGCCCTGGTCATTTGTCCACTTCTGGACTTTAGCCCAGTTCCAGGCTTATTTGTTTGCAGACTGTCAGTTCCTCATCTTTCGGGCAAATGGAGTCTAGCTTCAGAGGTCTGGGAGCCTGAGAATTTAGGGCCGCATGGCTATTGCTGTTACAGCGAACTGCAGGTTATGACTCAGTCCGGCCCCTGATAGAAAAATGTCCATCACCTTACCAGGGGTCGAACTTGGGACTTCCACATGAAAGCTCGATGTTGTAACCGTTCAGCCAGTCACTAAATGATCATTGTTTAAAATCCCAGCTGATCCTATAGACAACCTTACTTGCCAAATCCAGCCATTCATGAAATGAGGGATTGGTTGGTAACAGTAGGTTGAGGATCGAAGCTTCATTGTCAGATGGTTAGTTCCTCCTGTGGGTTCCGGGGTCCTATTATGTGGGGGGAGGGGGAAATAGACCCATTGCCTACCCAAAAGCATGTCGTAACAGTCGACTAATTGCGATCTTCCTTCGAAGTCGGAGTACATCTGCTAGAGAGGCAAGGAACCAACAGTCTGCATGCAAATAAGCCAGATATGTTAAACAGATGTGCATATGACACTCAGGTTCTAGAGCAAGACCAAAGTCCAGAGATGAGTGAACAACCAGAACTTTCCGTTAGAGTTACAGCTGGTGAACACAAAGAAAACAGAAGTAGAACTACAGGTGTTGCTTCCTGTACACTTCATCTTCTTTGATGACAACATTTGCTGTGCAACTGCTCCTGTTTAGATCACAATCAGGGTGGAAGGCGTGCTTGTCTTCACTGGTGTCCCCTAGTTTGTCTTGCAGGTTCACTCCTAGTTAAAAAAAAAGTAAAGTGAAGGACCCTTTTCCACGCTTTTAGGCGTATAGGGCATATAGGGCTAGACCTATATTTTATAGACCAATCAGCACAAGATGGGCAATGTGGTCAGCATCACGCTGGCCGCCTTTACTTCCTGAGACTGTACAAACCCACTCAAGGCTGGGTCGACCTGGATGCCAAGGTCATTTTTTTTTAAAAAGTCCGGCACCGCCAGGGAGTGAACCCACAACCTTCTGATCCGCAGGCGAGCATCTAGCCGCTCCACCACAGCGACTCCCTAGGGTCACTCCTAGCTGCCATTAACTACCACAGTCTAGGCAGTAGTGTCAGATTGTCTTTTCTTAACGTTCCCCGGCTGTAAATGTCAGCAACAAGTTCTGGCTGTTTGTCCACTTCTGGACTCGGCTCTTGTTCCAGAACTTCAGTTTTGAGTGCACATCCATTCTTCTGGCTTATTTGAATGCAGACTGTTGGTTGCTTGCCTCTAATTAAAGACCTCCAATTAATCGCCTCTTATGACATGCTTGTTTGGGGGCAATGGGTCAGTCAGGGCACCCCCCGGCCCCCAGTGGGGAGAGAGAGCCAGCAAGATATACTGTAGAGTTTACTTTGGTGTTGCAGATCTGCATGTGGTGAAAGTGTGCTCTGAGTTAGTGTCCGGTTAAGAGTCTTAAAACAGTAGCCTGCACATGTCTGCCAGTTCTACTTATGCTGTCATGCTGTCTGTAATTTCATTTTGAAATGACAGACATTTTATGAAATTTGCAAAGGGTCACATGAAATTACATTTCATATGATTTTTTTCCCCCTCAAAAATAATTTTTTTTTTCAAATTTTTAAAAATTATGATTGTCATTTTAATATGAAATATTCCAATTGTCTTCCTTCTGATAATTTCCCACCAAATGTACTTGTTGTTACGAAGTTCAGTTTTAATATTTTCATAATGTGAGAGTGGACCACGAGGCAGACCAAGAAAACAGTAGAGAGACAAGCAGAGACACAAACTGGAATAAGAAGGCTAGTCACAGAGACTACTGGAGGTGGGTGCTACCTGCAGCAATCAACCTCAAGAGTAGGTAATGCTGAAGAAGAAGAACAACCAGTGGGAAGGCAGTTAAAGATTCAAGTAAGAGGTAGACAGCAAAACAAGTGGAACGATAACTCCAGGAGATAGAGGGATAGAAGGCTATCAAGTGTATGGACAAACAGAAGTCTGTCAATTGTACAAAAAGGATAAGAGAGAGAGAGAGAGAGAGAGAGATTGCAGCTAACCTTCCCTCTAAAGATAGGCACCTGATTAATTTGTTTTCCTCAGTAATTTTCGTGAACTTTATGGTATCTGGCTTAAAGAATAACTTTACACAAGTACTTACTTGTCCATGTAATTTGCTTGTATTCCTTATTACAGTTGATACATGTGGATAAATGGTTACATTCTGCTTTCGAATCAGAAGATATCCGTGAGATTGTTAAAACCTGAAAGATATTATTTCTTGACCTAAACTTTCAGACTTTCGTACCCTGATAGAAACTTACAGATCCCATCGGTTCTTTCGCTTTTCGACAATTAAAGGGAAGTAATTACAAATCATCTCCACATGATCATTGGCATAAAGCAAGCAACTATATTAGAAGGTCTACATTTTCATGTCACCTGGAAGAAATATCAGTCGTTTGGTAGCTTTAGATATCATTGAAATAACTTCACAATCATGAGTTAGGTTGCACTGAGGATTTAACTCGTGGTCCCAAGGAACTCATCATGCGTTCACAGTTTCCTACCTAGAAGCCCAGTTAACACATGATGCGTCGATTTTAGTCTGTGATGCTAAACTCCCTGGGACAAAGAGAAGGTCGCATGGCTGGTGGAGTCACCACGCACCATTCAAGTTGTGATATTTATATTCACCCCCCCCCCCCCCCAGTTTATATTCACACAGCCCCCCCCCCCCCTTTTCCTCTGACAGAAAATACTGCCATCATATTACTGAGGTTTGATGGTGAATTAATTGAATTTGTTTTATTTTTGGGGTTTTGCTTGATTTGTGTACGTGCTAATGAAGGCTCTGTAGCCGCAGCGTTCACGTTTCGTTTGTGATATTGTGAAGCTCGCTGATCTACTTTTTGTTCGGGTGTATATCTTTCTAGGATACTGAGGTTTCAAACCTGGGTCTCCCACACGAGAGTCGCGCAGTTTATCCACACGCGCAGCCGATCATCATAAAAGGTGGTCAATTTAGGCTTTGGCTAAAGGGAAATAACCGGGGAAAATAAACTTGCCACCCGCAAATCTGCGGAGTTACAAATCAGTGGTCATACGGCCTTTTGTTTTGTTCACGGCTAGTTTTTCAGTAAACACATAACTTCATCTGTACAGTTTTCTTGTTACTATCATAGATTCAAAGAGAGATTTGTGTCCTAATATATTCTTGATGTGTAATGTTCCAAGTTAATTTTATTTTGTGCCTCCAATTATGTGTTGACTCTATTTCTACCACCTATCTACTCATCCCTTTCTGGGATGCAATTTTCATTTTTTAGAAGCCCCACCCTGGCTCTCGCCAGGGGCCGCAATATAGCCCGGCCATAAATATAGAAATGGCTGAACGCGGTTTCTGGGACCTCTCCACGGGTGATCCTCATCTGCATGGTGGCACTTTGCGTCATCGGGTGTTTATCACTTGTGTGATGTCCTGTTGGGGTTAACATGTACTACTACTACAACCTACCTGCTGATTAAAATTCACCGTCTCCAGGTGGGACATTTTTTTTTGTTTTTTTGAAACCCCACCCTGGTTGTTGCTGAAGGCTCTAATATAACCTAACAGTTGAACAGGGTTTCTGGGACCTCTCCAGGGTGATCCTCATCCAAATAGTGAACTTTGTCACTAGGTGTTTATCGCTCAGTGTCATGTCCTAGCGGGGTGAAAGGTCAGTCAGTCGTTACACCCCGCTTATCTCTTAAGCATGCCATCCCACTATGAGACTGCTAAATCTTTAATATTGTAGTGAATAATAGAAAGAAAGAAAGAAAATAGTGGCACAGATCAGTTTTAAATAAAAATATTTAAAAAGGCAATAATGTGTTTTTATTAGCAAAATAAGAATGTCAATTTTCCGTTACTTTAAAACCCCACTGCTGTTGGGGGTCGTAATATAACCTTGCGTTGAATGGGGTTTCAGGGACTTGTGCCTGGGGTGATTCTCTTCCGAGTGGTGGCACTTTGTGTCACCAGCTGTTGGTCGCTCTTGTACGAAGCTAATAAAGTTAAAGGACCTACAAACACACACACCACTTGCTTATCTACATAAGATTGCAGGTTACACCTGGCTAATATAGCCATTACAGGTGCCTAAATTAAAACCTCTTGGAGGTTGAACGGGGTATCGGAGGTCTGCCGTCCATATTTTAAATCTCATGATGGTATCGTAAACCTTAAGGTAGCAGCCAGGAGGGGATAGACTGATCGAATGATACCCGGCAGCCTGTCATACATTTATTAATTATTTCATTCATGTTTTTTAATTTTTGTTTTTATAATCTTATCTTATATTGATTCTTTTTTTTTAATGTTAAC